TTCATCGAGAGGAAATACAATTTCTAATTGCTAAGACCAAAGTCACGTAAAGTAATTATCATAAGAAACTGTGCGAAGGTTTCTTACTGGATTACAAATTGATATAGGTCTCGAATGGCGTGTTTTTTAAACTTTTTAACCCCTGAGCACTCTTTTTCTGTGGGGGTTTTGCCTGTGAATACTTGCTAACGGCCATCTCGCAAGAATATGAGTGTCTCACTGATTAGTTTTAGTACAACTTTCATCAGTCATTGATAAACGTGTGGCTAGCATTGCTGAAGTAGCAAGGCAATCGTTACTTGGACGGAAGGAAGTGCACAAAACACAGTTGCTTCAAAAGTCCCAAATTTCAAAATTTCTCGCAGCTCCCGAAAAGAGCAGAAATTGAAAATTTCGAAAGCCTGAAGAACTTCGGGTTTTTAACATTTCCGAAGTATACGATCACGGAAGATACGGGTGGAAATCTGCTAGAAATCTTTGTGTGCCATAAGTAATTTAATTTTCCAAATTTTAAAGTGGCAAACATATCAATGTTAATAAATAAAAGAACAAGTGTGGAAAATACACCATGATGAAATGAGCAACAGATGCACCTGAATGAACAAACATGCACATCACCTTGGCGAGCGTCTCAACTTCAGTACAGGAGCACACATAAGTTTACTCTTCCCTCTGTTTTCCAGCTGGTCTTTTTCCTGCCTTTCCCCTCTCCCCGATCCTATTTCTCGTCCTCCTAAAAATTGCCGGATTTGCTTAGCAATACTCTCCTGTCCCCCGTAAAATGGAGCAGTGCGCAGATACCAGCCACAGCCCATCACAATCTTAATTTGGCTCAGTGGATTCATTTCCGTTGCTTTTTTTTTAAATTTTTGTTTCTTCGCGGGGCGGTAAAGCAGCAAAAGTTGAAAATTTTCGGTTGTCCTGACCTAGTTTCAATAGTCCGCAAAACACCACTTCTCATCCTCCGAGACCTTCCACAAAGCCAACTGAAAAATCACAGTGTTTTCAGTGCCACTAGAAGAATATCTTCGCAGCCTGTGCAATCCGACTAGAAAGCCGTTGCCGATGTAAAATTTAACTTGGCAAATCTCTCGTTCAAACTCACTGTGAGTTGTGAAACCGCGCTTGAATATAACAACGTACCCTAGCAAGGGAACAGTCCTACTGCTCATATTCATACAGCATCAGAGCTACTTGTGGGAAAGGAATAAATGTAAAAATTTAACAAGAACACTGCGGGAAAGAGGGCGGGTGAAGAGGCGGGAGGGGGGGGGGGGGGGGGGGGGGGGGGGG